AGCCTAATAAAACCCTTTGCTACTGTCTGTTGGCAATATAGTCCCATTCTTGGCAGTAGAGACACCAGGTCTGAGATGGGAATACTACTGTACATGACCAATACCTCTGCCTTGGGATACCAGCTGCTCTAGGCTCACGTTCATCATCCAGTGAGCTGAGCTAGCTCTGTTATGGAAATAGGCTTTTCATTATAGAAGCAGGTACCTTTAGTGTGCATTATCCCATTCAAATATCCAGCTGGTAACGTGACAGGAGTGTCCTCAGCATGAAATCAAGCATGAAATCATTTTAACAGTACAGCTAAAGATCAGCTCCAAACTAAACTCAGAACATCTCTAAATTCCTTGCAAACACCCAAGAAAACACTCTCAAAACTAGACTTTCCCATCTTATTTTCCATAAAGACCATGGAGCCAGAGCAAATGTCATCAGGGGGATTTGAGCCTGTAAATCCTCAGCCCACTCCTGACCGGGAAGGGATTCCCCAACACATGCAGCAAAGTCCATGTTTTCCTTGGTCTCAAAGACAGAGAAATTGCTAAAATGCTGCCATGGGAATTCCCTGCAATTTGTTAAAGGAATATCAACTTTGAATTTAACCCCAGAATAGTGCTTTCTACTGAACATGGCTCTTAGTCCCTCATCCCAACACTCCGGGTATGTAACAGCACTGTGAACATGCATCCAAATTTTATCATCGTGTCTTGTGAGCTGTCTTTCCCAAAGAACAGGCATGCATGCAGTCCTGTTCTGTGTGTAAAACACCTCAGCTTCTCCTATATTGCAAGCCTGAAGTGATCCTTTCAGGCTTTTCCCTGGGTTTAACCAAACTTGGAACTCATGGTGGCTTCACAAAGCTTACCCTTCACCAATAGTCCTATATGTTTCATTTTCGATTTAGTAGGAATCAGTTATAATTAACAGTGGCAGAAACTGGAACATACAAGTCACTAAATACACTCCAAATGGAACAGTATAAAAATTAAATGACTTTTTTTGTGCTCATAGTTAAGCTTGCTTGTAAAATAGGACACTCGTCATGTGGCGAGCCTGTTATATAAACAGTGAAACCCACTTCAATCAAACACTTCTCCAAGCTTGTTCTTCTGTTTCAGAAAACAAGACGTTTTTCAAGAGCCATTGTTTCCTCATTCCTCCTGCTTCCCAGTAGTTTGCACGCACTCAACACATCACAGGCAAACCGTTTTGCCATTTTTCTGTAACCCCGTTCAAAATTAAATCAGTATTGAAATACCTGCTTGAAGGACCTGTATGCAGCAGCAAAACAGAGGCTCCACTGCAGGCACAATGCTACAAAGACACATTGCCATCAACTGGTGATGGGGTTCCTGAATAGGGCCTTGCCAAATGGATCTTGAGATCCGCCTTTCCCTCCATGCACCTACCTAAGCAATGCTCAGCTTGTGCTGGGCTCCGCAGGGACATGGGACCCATGCTTGCCCAAAGGTGACTTTCTCATCAACAAAACCTGCAGTCTCAAGGAGTACACAGAGCTGGCGGATGGTTGCATGGCCCTCGGGCTGTCCTTCAGCTTCTCAGCAGCATGGGCCTTGCAACCCATTTGGACACATCCTCTGCTGGATCACACGGTCTTTGCTACATTGGGAGTGGCTAGAAACTGCAGAGCTGTTTTGGGCAATGTTAGGCAGAGGTTCTGGACCCCCAGGGTCACTCCTATCCTTTTGGAGCACCTCTCTCTGCAAGAGGCCCTGGAGATCTTCCATCTCTTCTGTCTCTGCTGAGCAAGGTCTTCTGGCCACAAGATTGGGTTGTGCAGCTAATAGGATCCAGATGCTTGGTAAGTCCCACCCCATTGGAGGAACATGAACATTTAGCCAATGGGTGCAGTGTTGAGGTGCTTGGTACCTCTACTTGGAGTGGCAGAACCCAGTCACCATTACCATGTGGGACCCTCCTACCAGAAAGCTCTCTCCATTCAAACGGCCTGCTCCCTTCTCAAATCAATGTGAAGGGCTGGGTGGCTGGGGACACCTGAGCAATCTGTGGCAGTTGTGGTTTCACTCTATGTAGAGATCTACACAACCTCCCATGCCATAGGAAGGGAATCCCCATAGTGCTGGTTCTACCTCCTGCCCCCACAAGATGCAATAAGTTGGTGTTACAACCCTCATCTAGAGCTGGGACCTGAAGGAGATTGACCAAAGTCACTCAGGAAATATAGTGCTAAGGTTCAAAGTATATAACCAAAGCCACAGTATAGCATCTGATCTCCTTTCCCTTGGTTCTTCTTGAAGACCTCCAACAAAAACAAACAAACAAAAAGGTGGAGGCATTAAAATTCCTAGACCAAAGTTCCCATTTCATGAGATGCAAGAATTACTCTCAAACCAAGAAGTCATGAAATTACATGCAAGATCTTTTGTGCTCTTCATCTCTCCTAGCACCAAAAACACTCACTGCCTGATCAGTCCCAAACTTGAATGCTTTCCGTGATGGTCCTTCTCTAAGTAGTAAACTGGACTAGAGACTCCTGAGATCCTTTCCAGCCAACTCTTCAGATATCTGACATGGGAATTTCTCTTATACTTGCTCCACTTGCCTTCACAGCCATGTCCTCCCATCAGTCATTTGATCCATCAGCAGTGTATCTCCCAATTAAAATTCACAAGCCTCTCTTCCCTGGGAGCATCTTTTCCGAGCAAAGCTTTGCACGCATGGGGAGACACTGGCACCATGTCTTCTCTGTCTCAGACCTTTTCCAGCCACTGTTGGGAGCTTCCTTAGGAAGGAGTAGGCTAGGGATCACATGTCAAAGGAAGATCTACATCTCATGAGTGATGATTTGCTGTCCCACAAGCTCCGTTCCTATGCCACAGCTGAGGGCTTTAGGGTTGCTCTCCCCACTGTTCTCTCCGTGTGTTGAGGACCCAGGTGCTAAGCTCCTCCCGAAGCAGCAGCTACTTCACAAACCACCCAGGAGCAACTTGCCATAATGAAACAGAACCATCCCCAGGAGCCCACAGTACAGCTTGCTGAGGGAAAGACTTGCAAGATTGGATTATTTCCTCAGATTTGTCAAGTTGTCTGTGAAATTTTCAACTCTGAGCAGATGTTCAACAGATTTCCTGTGCCACCTTGCCCTCTTTGGGAGCACAGTGAAACCAAAGCCCCATCTTCCTCTGAACTCTCTTCTCCCAGAGAGGATTCCTGGGCCCTTTCTTAAGTCCAGAGTTTCCACTTCTTGATATGTGTTCTCTCTGCTACAGAGAACATGAACACATGGTCTTTCCCAGAGACAGGACCTCCAGCTCTGCTTGATCTCAGCAGGTTTGGCTTCCCTAGAGCTAGAACTTCATCATCCAGACATCTCTACTCATCCAGACTCATCTCAGAGCCGTGCCTCAGCAAGACTATGAAGCCCACCAGGTGGAAAATAGCTCCTTGACCCACTCTAATGTATCCTGTGAGACCAGCAGTCCTGTGGCAGTGTGGAGCAGGACCATGCAAATAAAGGAGAGCTTGAGGCTCTCCAGTCTCAAGGCTTCTGGCAAACCTTGAGCCAAGGGACCCTCTTGGTCACATCTTAGTTTATTTCTGGCTCACCCCACTGATGGTGGGATGAATTGGGGAACTGTCAGCTCTTCCCATCAGTCCTGGGGTTTGGGAATAGACAGTGCCCTGGGGTCACCACAGTGCCCACTTGCATCCTGTGCCCATACAAGACAGGAACATTTGGCCCTGTCCTACCAGCCTTCTGAGCCCATATAGGCAGAAACATGCAAGTCTTGCCACTTTGTCCCCTGCACCCTAACCCCTTATCCATGTGAGACACAGACCTGCACAACCTCAACTCAGCAGTCGCATGGCCCCATCTCCACACAGGTGGTGGCATGCATAACCCACACAGAGGCAGAGACCTACACAGCCACATCTCCCCCTATCCCCAGCACAGGTGGGGGATGTCCCCCCAGCCCTTGTCCCTCATGCAAGTGGGGACAGGCCTGAATGCATCCTCCTCCCACCCATGTGTGACCCCACCCCTCCAGCTCCTGGATACCCCTATCCTCTCCCCCCCTATCCCCAAAAACCCCCACACAGGGGGCAAAACTCACCCCACCAACAGACACGCGTGTCCCAAGCCCTCAGCACAGGGAGGCACTCGCACAGCCCCTCCTAGGGCAGCCAAGAACAGCGCGGGGACCCCCCACCCTCCAAGCAGACGGCGCCCCGCGTGGCCCGGGACCCCACTAGGACACGCGTGGGGCTCATGCCGTGCGCGCTCTTTCCCCGCTCCCTCCCTGCGATCGCGGCGGCGCGACGGGCACTCACCGGCGCGGCGGGCGCAGTGCGACGGGGCGGGCCGCGCCGCCGTTTACATGGGGCTCCGCGCCCGCCGCCGCCGCCTATAAGAGCGCGGAGCGGCGCGGCCGGGGCCGCCCGAGCCTCCCCGGGGCCGCCCGAGCCTCCCCGCCGCCGCTGCCCGCAGGTGAGAGCCGCCCGCAGCCCCTCCGTCCCTCCCCGCGCCGCTCCGGCGGCCGCGGCTCGCCCGGCGACGTGGCCCCGCACCGCTCGCTCCCGCGGGGACAGCAGGCGGGCTGAGGCCAGCCAGGTTGGCCGCTGGATCCGTGGTTTCCCGCCCGGAATAGCCGGAGCAGCGGTTCCCAGATGTTGCACAACAGCCCTGGATACTCCCCGAAAATTCAGCTTGGGAGAAGGAAAGCAATTTTCCATGGTGGGCTCACATTTTTCAGTTCCCACATATTATTATCCACTTCAATTTACAGTGAAATTTTATAATTACACTCAGGGCAATTCCAGCTTGCTAATCTTTCCTTCTCCCCTTACATCTCATATGAAATTTGGGCAAAGAAATAATGAAGCTGATGATAGAATTGAAGCAATTACATCTTAACTTGTCCTAGGCTTAGCATGTTTGCTTATCTGTTCTCTTTCAGCAGGTCTGAGTGCTTGTGGCTGCATTTGCTGGGCTGGAGACCCTGCAGCTGGGCTTCAGCTCGATATTTTTTTACTGGGACCCAAAGACAACTTCTGATTTTCAGGTAATCCTAGAGAAAATAGTCCTTGAAGGTTAAATTTCCTTGTTCTTGGTTCCCCAGTGAGACAGCCCAGATAAACTCTAGCAGAATAACTTGAAACAAGACTTTTAAGTACATGAGAGCTCTGTTACTGAAGCAAAGGGTGTGGATAAGGTCAGCTCCGGATCAGTAGTGACCACTTTGGATGTCTAGTCTTCTGCTAAAACTGTTTCTTGTGATGATCTGAGCTCTCAGAAATCTTCTGCAAACAAATGTTGCTTTATGGGTTGGAGAGTGAGTTCAGCTGTACAGGTCCGATTATTTTCAGATGCTTATTATATTCTTCACTGGCTTCTAAGCATTTGGGACTTTCTATTTTGTGTCCGAAGCATTTGGGGTTGGATCTTAGCTAAAAAAAATGCAATCATTCTTGTGTGCAGAAAATGAGAATGAAACCAATTCCTCCATGTCGGCAAACTATGAAATTATGTCTGGTCATGAGTCATATTAACTGTATCATCCTCTAGCTTTTGAAGACTTCCCAGGTTAGTCTCATGTGGAGATGCTATTAAATAAGCAAAACGAAAGGGCTTAATGTGCAATTGGTTCTGGCAGAAAAGATCCAAGGCAGAAATGGAGCAGTCTTGTAATTGCTGTAACTTAAGTGTTGCTGGGAATTCTATCTGGGAATCAATCAGATGCTGAGTCTGCCATCTGATCTTATGTAACTCAGTCTCCTCATAGCTTTGATATTTGTTCCTGATGCTCATAGTCTACCGAGAAGCCTTGCTTCCTTGGGCCCATATCCACGGTGCATTGCTTCTACGTAGAAACGGTCCAACTGCTTCCTCAAAAACTCCTCCCAAATCATTGCAGGGTCAGAGGGGGCAGCTTCTTTCAAGAAAGGGAAGAGGGTGCAGGTGATAAGCTTTGTTCTACCCAAGGATGGCCAGGGGCTGGGATAATTCTGCTGCTGTGAAGTCGGTGTTCTCAGTAGCTCATGACTGTTGGGGAAAAAAGTCTGCGTGTGCCAGCGTGGAGGAGCAGTGGTTGCTGGCTTGAGACTTCCTCTAAGGGTACACTGCAAAACGGAAAGCCCTGCTTGCTTCTGCTGGAGGGAAAGGCCCAGTGCTGTCCAGGGAGGAGCTGCTCAACTGGTTTCTGGGCTTGGGCAGCTCCTCAAGCCACAGCAGAAGAGCAACCTGTGGTTCTCTCACATGTCTACAAGCCCTTCAGGCTGTCCAAGACCTGCCCCAGGCATCTCCTGTCCCCTGCTGCAAGGGCTTTGGGTGGCATGTTTCTCTGCTGTGCCGTATTTCATCATGTCATTCTCCTTGAAGTACTACATTTCCTTGTCCCTCTGAGGGGCTTGGTGATGAACTTTCCACAGCTGGTTGTTCCAGATCTGAGGTGGGCTGGAGGTCATTGGGGTTGGAGACCCCCTGAGGCTCCAAAGAACCCAGCAGGATAGCAGATAAAGCAAGCTGGGCCTCCTGTGACAACCTCTCTCACAGGCTCCTGGAGGTGCAGGATGACTCTCTTTGATGGCGTCTACCCCTTCTACCCTCAGCAGAGGAAGAGCTTTGTCTTCGATGTCAGCATCATCATAGTGATCATCGTCTTCCTAACGCTTGCTTGCAGCTTCCTCATCATCATCCCAGGCATCCGTGGACGAGCGGTGCGTGACCCTTCTCCCTGGAAAAACAAAACCAAAAACAAAAAAAAACCCCAATCCCCAAACGCCTAGTCTTCATATTTTGGAGCGATGAGAAGAGCTGCAGGTCCTCCACACACCGCAGCTGGGCTTTCACTGGCTGGGGGTAAGGTGGGAGGACAGCTGCGGCTCTTCATCCTTACCCGACGTCCCACCTCTCTCCCTGCAGAGGCTGTACTGGCTTATCCGGGTTCTCCTCAGCCTCGTCATTGGGGTGGTGATTGTCGGTAAGTGTTGCATAACTCTTTGAGGGTGGGCCCGTGCAAAGAAGTAAACTCCAGGGCAGGGTTTGTGCCTGGGAAGCATCGGTTTGTGATCACAGCCACGGCTGCTTGCAGGGTCTGCCCTACTCCCTCAATGCTGAGCAGGGCCTTAAGAGCACTTGGAGCTGCTCATGCCTGCCTTGAGAGGGCACTTGGTTCAGTTCAAAGGAGGCCAAGCTGCCCTGCTTAGATGGACTGTATCCTCCCAGCCACTGAGAGATGGAGCTGAGCTCTCCTCCTGAGCTACCTGTTACAGAGGGAGCACAGCTGAATAGCTCGGACAGCAGCCAGCCAAGGTTGGAGGCTGAGAGAAGCTTGGCAGTGATGTGGGGAGAGCAGGTTGAAACAAAATACGGGCAAGTTGGAGGGAAAGAAAGGATTCTCAAGGGAGTGAGACAGGAGGAGATGGTGAGGGAGAGTATTTGATTTAGTAGAAACCAAGAAATGTTTTGGGGTAAACGGGACTGATGGCAGAACCAATGAGGACCAGAGCGGGGACAGGGAACGTAGGTGAAAGATGAAGCAAGGGGAGAGAAAACAGTGGGTGAGGAGTAACCAGCCTTAACCCAAAGTCATCCAAACTCTATTGCTTTGAAGAATAGAAAGGGCAGACCATGACCAAATGTGTGACCCTAGCAGCAGCCACAGAGTGGCCACCCTCCATCTAAGAAGGTCCCCATGGTACGGAGGGAGCAACCAGAACTGCCGGGGAACATGGATCCAGGTTCCAGGCGATGAAGGAGGGGAGGTCACCGTTATGCTCCACAGCCTCAATCTGCTCAGCCCTGGAGAGCCATCCAGTGCCACTTTCATTACAAGGAATCAGTGAGGTGTTGCTTGGGTACACAGGAGGAATTGGTAGGCTTAAAGGCAAGGTCAGAATTTTTACCTGGCAGCAATGGGTCCCACACGGCTCTATAGTTGGAAAATGCTCCACCAGATCATAGGCGTGGAGGCAGCTGAATGCACAGCTGAACCCATTTTCAGGCAGGACTATAAGGCCACTTTCAGCCTGAGATCAACCTGAAACACCTTCACCAGCTCTGTTTGACAGTGATACTCACCAATCACTAATATCGAGCCCCGTTACTCACGAGCTTAATACTCAGCAACAAAACGCACCCCTGGTCCCAAGTCTCAGGAATGGGCTCCTTTCTGAGCTCTGTCCTTGCAGACCATGAAGAGTGCTGTGTGTGGAGGCTTCGAGGAAGTTCTGAAGAGGATTCCCAAGGAGGAATCTGATTGCGAGGGTCATCCCTGGGGATCTGAGCTTTCTCCAGGATTAGGGGAGTGGATGCTCTGTGAGAGGAGGATGTGAATTCTGTCAGAGCTTGAGGAGCTAGCTGAGGCATGTTATTGTGGCTGAGTCAGCTCTCCTGTCCTCCTTTCACTCCTTTGTAGTCCCATAGTGGGAAAACTGCAGTCTGTACTTGCCTGAAATCCCCCTTGAGCAGCCAAGGTCTGAGTCCAGCCCCTCTTCAGCTCCAACTTACTTTTCTTGGCAGCCGTCCAGTACACAAGGGACTGGGAAAGCGGCTGGGTGACAGCAAACACCTCCTACAAGTCCTTCAGCCGTGCCTCGGTGAATGCGGACATCGGGCTGCACGTCGGCCTGGCTGGGGTGAACATTACGCTTGTGGGTGAGTCTGATGTCCCTGTGTGGGTCATGAGGTGGCCATGATGTTGGGAGGTCTCCAAGACCTTTGTGGACTGCCTTGGTGGCACTGCCCTTGCTCCTGGCCCTCTGTTGTCATCAGAATGCCTGCGCTCCCCGGTGGCAACATTCAAACCAGAGGGCCACAGCAGGACCTTAGTCTTCCTCTTCTGTCAGGAAACCCAGTGAATCAGGTCAACGAGACCATCAAGTACAACGAGCACTTTGCCTGGAGCTTCGATGCAGATTATGACCGCAGCTACAGTGAAGGCCTGGAGAAGGGGCTGCCCAGTCCCATCCTCTACTTGGCAGAGAAGTTCACCTCACAAAGCCCCTGTGGTGTGCACAACCAGTATCGCATCTCTGGCCACTACGCATCAGCTGTTCTCTGGTGAGCCTTAATCTTCTGGTGTGGGCAGGGGCAATGCAAGGATAGGAGAAAGGTCCTGCTACCTTGTCTCTAAGCATCCAGAACTGGTGAGCAGAAAGTAATTGGAGTGGAGGAGCATCTTCAAGGTCTGTCCTCATAACTCCGGGATGAGCAGGCATTTGGGAGGGTGAGAGGGATGGTCTTGGTCCTCTCTGTAGGTCCCACTGGGGCTGTATATGACACAGAAGAGGCTGGAACATAGTGCAGCTTCTTTCCATGATGTGATGATCGTGTCATGGACACATCCCCATGGAAGGGAGTTGGAGCTGGTGTCTTTGGAAGCCTGGAGAAGCATCACATATTGCTATCAGGACCCCAGATTCCACATGGAAAATCTTACCTAGAGCATCCTAGTCCATGACACTTGTGCACTTCATCACTCGGTCCTCTCTTGTCTCCAGGGTGGCCTTTTGCACCTGGCTCATCTCCAACATTCTCTTCTCCATGCCTGCCCTCGTCTATGGAGGTTACATGGTCCTGGTCACAGGGACCTTCATGATCTTTTCATTGCTCTCCTTTTCCACTGTGAGGAACTCCCCGATGTGTGCCATCAAGTTTGGGCCTGCATCCCTTCACATAGCCTATGGAGGATCTTTCTGGCTCACACTAGTGGTTGGTAAGCACAGCAACCATGCCGCTCTTGGGGCATTAGAGTTAAAGCACTTTGCCCCACAGGAATGGAGTGAGACAGCTCAGGGTGTGCAGCCGCTTGAGCTCTGCAGGAATCAAGTCCCAGCCAGTGCCTTGGCAAAGCAAATCCCGGTGGATATGTGGAGAGGTCTAGCAGTGTGTGGAGCACTTTCTCTATCTAAAGGTGGTGGAAGGGAGTGGGGAACACATACCTATAAGTTTTATGATGCTCAACACAACAGTTGAAGCCACCATATATGGAGCAAGGCCATCTTCTATAAGGGAAGGTATTGTACCTTGTTGGGGGTCTGTCAGAGTAGGGATGTGGGATGGGGAACATGCCAGCATTCACCAGCAGGATAGGGAATGTGAGGCATGCTCACCGAGAGCATATTGTTTTCCAGGCTTGCTCTGTTTCGTGATTGGTGTCACTGTTGTCACACTGCACTTCTTCAGCTTGGATCTACTGAAAACTTTCTTTGATCTCCATGTGGATGACGCAGAGGAGTGCCAAGAGATGACTGAAGTGTATGTCAACCGTCGGATCACGGACAGTACACTGTCTCCTCCTCAGCCCTCCACACCCAGCCCTAAGAGTATCTAGGAGAAATTTCTTTCCCCAGTTAAACAGAGAAGGCCCAAGAGGGCAGAGCATAGACCTTTCTTGGTGTCCCCACAGAGACCCATCTCCTCAGTCAGCTGCCACCAAAATATGCACATATATTCTGTTGGGATGGCGACTTGCTGAGAAGTATCTCTGAAAGCTGAATTTCCCTGGTCATGCTGTCTGGACTTTGGCAAGAGTCTGTAACTGGAACAGCTCACAGCTCTGTAGCCTTCAGAGTGGAGCATTCGCCTAGGGATATCTGTGCCCAAAAGTGGTGTCCATTCCTGCTCCTCGCCCTGCCACAATGTGGTTCAATGAGCCTCCAGTGGTTGCTTCCCATATTAACAAACAAGCTCATGTTGAGACTTCTTCTGCAGTGTACCCAGGAGATCCAAAGAGCTGGGATAAACCTGCCCCAGCCTTCTTTCTCTGGCACTGATGTTTAGTGCAAACCTTTAGATCTACCTAGAAAAACCAGGCACAGACCTAAACTCTGTTAAGCTGGACACTGTATGATCTAGAGAAAGAAATCTGCTCCAGAAATGAGGCCTGAGTGAACACTTGGTGGAGGTTGTCAGGGGGAATGCAGCGATGTGGTGACTTTCATAAAATGCTTTCCCAACCTAAGCTTTATTACACAAGAAGAGTAGTCTAACACAGACCAAAAAAAAAAAAAAAAAAAAAAAAAAACCCTAGGAAAGGCAGAAAAAGGATGAATTAGCTTACATCTGCACAGCTGGAAAAAACCTGTGACATCCAGGCTCACCACAAAATCCAAGTCTGATGCCACAAGTTAGATCAGATCTGCTTATAGACAGGGTAAGAAATGAAGTGCAGAAAGTCTTGTAAATAAATAAAAGATGGGTTTGGGGATCAGGCTTGCTAAGGCTGTATTTCCAGCAGATACAGGGAGACTGCCATAGCTGAATGTTTGATACCTGGGCAGCTTTAGTCCACTTAATTGTAAGACATAACTACTTTTTCTCTTCTATCAGAGGGAAAGAAAACAGCTCTTGTTAAATTGAACTACTTATTTCTTTCACACAATATTTGTGTTGCATTAATTTGATTTGTTGTGGTTGAGAATTATTGTTTTTAATCTTTTTTTTTTTCAAAATTGCATTTTTGAAATACTATGGGCTTTTCTGGAATAGTTTCTTGAATGGCTGTTCAGGGGCTTGTCTGCAGATGGCCGCTTGTGAGCTCCAAGGAGGAGCATCTTTCCCTTGGGTGAAGCTACCTTGGCAGAAGTGCCTCCAAGAAGGGGCTAGATTTATCGGCACCTACCAAGGTAGATCCTTGAACCATGTTCTCTATAGGAACAACACACCACACTGATGTGAGAGAGCCTGAAAGTACACTTAAATTTATCAAAGGAGCAAGACAAAAGCCATAAAGTTAAAGGAACAGAACTTGCAGTGGGTTGACTCCCCTGGGAGGGAAGATTCTCACTTGAGCCTTCACAGGCCAGACCTGGGTGCCTTGCTAGAAGGTGCTATTCCAAACGCAAGCTATTAGAAATGATATGGGGCAGATCCCATACCCTGAAACCACTGGGAAGCTACTATAGGGAACTGAGGTGTTTTCCATTTTTCTACCTCCACATCTGGAGCTCTATCCCTCCCCAGCCTCATCTCTTGCCTTTAGGAATGATTTTGCCCCCAGAAACTGGCAGCGTCCTTACTGGAAGAAAAGCTCTGGCTTGTTACATGTGCCATACAGAGGCATGAACCCAAATATAGGAAAAATACATAAAACTGGATTAATCCAGGGCACTTCCATCACCCTCATGAGAGCCAGCTCTCTATGTGTCTGGCTGACTTGCCAAGAAACATGTGAAGGGATTTCTGCAGCTCAATACGCATGGGGCCAGATGAGGAAACCATGGGGCAATGCAGAGACCCCTGCACATATTGTACTGCTCATGGAGAAATGTATTTTCCCGCGACAGCCTGGTGAGGTCAGAACAGCAAGATCCAGTTGTCTTGGGTATGAAAATGGGACCATAGCCCCCCAAAAGCAGATTTACAGCATGTCCAGGCAGAGGACTTCTTCCCTTGCGGCCTGGAGGCCTTCTTCCCTTGCGGTCTGGAGCCTCCTCAGATGCTTGCAGGCTGCTGGTTGCCTGTTCGCCCCATGCAGGCCTGCTGCTGACTCAGGCAGGCAGCCCTGGCACGTTTCTGAGGGCCTGCTGCTCTGCCAGCTCCCGTGGCGCGCTCGGGATCTTGGCACTGCTCTTCCAGCTTCTTTGTGGCAGTTGCGCTTGACCTCCTTTCCCAGCAACGCCTGTGCTTTGCTTTCTCCACGCCCTTGAGCTGATCTCACAGCGTGTGGTTCAGGACTGGCCCACATCCCTCCGCGGGTTTTCATTAGTTCCCCCTGAGACAGGACTGAAAAATGAAGTGCAGCGTAGCAGCAGGAGGCCTCCAGCAGCGCCCAACCCACTGAGGTGCCAACAAGAGCAAGGCCACCTCCTTTTCTGAGCCTCAGTTTTCTCCTTCCTGCCCTTGTGCTCCCTTCTGCACTGCCCAGTGCTGCTACACCAGGGCCCCTCAAGGACCTCCTTTCAAGTGGAGGTGGCCACATGTGGCTGAGGGATGTACCTGCGTGAGACCCACTGCATGTGGCCTCGTCTTTCTCAGTCCGACACTGATAGAGGAGAAAGAGGCTATTGATAAGAAGCACCCAACACCCTATCTCCAGCAGTGACCATCCAAGTGATGAGGCTGGGAACCAGCCCTGTTTGTTTCATGGGTGTCTGTGAACATCAGAGGCCCTGAGGAGCTTATGGGAGCTGCTGTGCAGACTGCAAGGACCGAGAGACTTGGTGTTTGAGAGAGTTTCCCTGGAGGGTGTTACATAGTTAAGCAACTTTCTCTTTGGCTCAGGGATGATTATGTCTTCATTATAGCAGCTTATTGACATGCAGTGACAGCTGTGCTTATACGGACCCTAAGCAGTGCTGCTGTAGGACTTACCTGCATCCAACACAGATTCCAGCTCATTTTCCTGGCTGGACTGAACTGTTTTGGACAACAAGACATTAAATAATTGCCAATAAATCCCTGGCTCTCAGCCCAGGCTGCTTCTGGCCTGGCACTGCCCAGATCCAACCTGTCTGCTTGAGGGCATCTGGCACCTAACCAAAGCCGCTATGCTGGTCAATGGGGCAAGCATCGTGGGCGTCTTGGAGAGCGGACTGGAGCTCGATGAGGATTATGGTCCCCCACAAAACTGGTGGCACTTGTCACCCCAGGGCACTGTGACATTTACTAAGCACCAGAGCTAACCCTCCCCTTCCCCCGAGCTGGGCTGCGAAAGGAGAAACATGCTTGGGAAAGATAGGGGCTAGGTTGGTAGAACTTCATTTTTCCCCATTGAAAATAAAAGAAGTGGCAAAATTAAAAAAATATTGTTAGTGTCTGGTCTGATTCATCAGCAGGCTGAGGCTGAAGCCTCTCGGCACACACCTTTGGGAGTAACAAAACTGAGATCTCCCAAGTCCCAGGAGTTCAACCCCATTTTTAAACGACTGTTGATGAGAGTGAGGTCCCCTTTGAAGACTCCCATCTGGAGTGGGATGGGGCAGGCTGCTGTACCTGAGCACCTCCGCAGAGGACCTCCTATGGTGTGATCCCTCTGCAAACCTTCCTGCGGAGGTGCTCCCACCAAAGGGCCCTCATGCCCAAGGTCACCCCAGGAGCTAATTCCCCACCATGCCCAGCCTGCTTTTGCTCACCTGGCAATGCTTCAGTACTCCATTTACCATGTGTTATCTCGACCACATAGCCCAGCCTTAGCCAAATGGACCATGCCTGGACATAAAAGAGCTCTGCCAGGCAGTTTTTCCCTGTCCTGTTGCTGCCAGGCCAAAGGAAGGCAGCATTCCAGGTCTCAGAAGTCCATCTTCTTTATAGACAAAAGAAAGACGAGGCCCAATTTATTTCACTGAGATAGAGGGGAAAATATGTAAGTACAAAACAGAAGAAAGAAAAAAAGAAGAAAGAAAAAGAAGAAAAAAGAAGAAAAAAACACAAGATTTTGCAAGATCTGCACAGAATTAAAGGTTTGCAGACCTGAAACATCCCTCCATCTTCCCTCCCTCCCTTGGCCCAAATGGCCAAGACAAAACTTAGCATCTGGCAAGCTGGAGTGAGGGGCTGCAGCCAGCCTGCACATGCACCTCATTCCTCACAGCACAGTTAAGCTTGCACAGTTAAGCAGGATGAAATCAAGCCTTCCGGACAGAGCACGATGCCCACCTCTTGTTGATTAGTCCATACACTCTCTGAGGCACTATAGCACGTCTGCTCCCTTCTTCCGCTCTTGTTCTTGCTTGCTGAAACATTGTCTTTCAAAGGGGTTGCAAGACACTGGTGACCCGTGGCTTGTGATGGCCTGTTCTGGTGATCTTTGATGTGTGAGTCTGCATCCTGAGTCTTGCGCAGAGCCCAGAGAAGGGAACAAGGTGACTGTTACTCTGCTCCCAGCCCTTTGCAGGGTGAACAGACCGTTCAGTGATCCTCTGAGGTATGGCTTTGCAAATTCCTAGGCTGCTCTTCGGTTGTCCCTCTGATTTCTAGGTGTTTTTGAGCACTGTGAGAAGTAAGGACCCAAACCCAAGCACGTGACTGTGCCCAGTGTCCAGCCCAATGCACCTCTGACCTGCTGCCTGTGTTGAACCTGAGGTGTGGGATCCTAGACTGGTTTGAAATCCAGATGCCTCCAAGATCTGGCACCTTCAATATCCCACTGCGTCATTGCCCTTCTTGCCATTCTACCCTTCATCATGCACCAAGAGGAAACCCTGCACATGGGACATCCTGGTGGCCACAGGGCCCAGCTCTGTTCACTTGTCCTGCCTGCTGATAAGAAGAGATCCCTGGACAGATTCCCCTGACTACTCAGAGGCCTCTGGAGTCGGAGTGCTCTCGGAGGGCTGTGTTGGATCATTTTTATGCTTATTTCTAATTTCTTTTTTTTTTTTTTCAGACTCTGCATCTCAGGGAGGACTTTCAGTGTTTGTGGGAGATGGAGTAAGTGGAAGAGCAGTAGCCTGGTGGCTGTGACTGGGCAGGCAGGAATAGAGCAAGGATACAGTACACCAAAAATTCTCATGGCTGATGGTGAATTGAATAGCAAGAATAAAATGAGGGAAAACTGTTGTTTTCAAGACCTTTCCAAGCTTGCATACCATCAGCAGCCAGACTGTCTGACCATTTGAGCTCTTTTGGGGGGTTTGAGGGCTAGTTCTTGAGTTTGGGCCTCCTGCCAGTCCCAGCGGTCATTGCCTTGTGCCAGGGGCATGTGGCGCCGAGCTGCGACAGCAGCAGGGCAAGGATGAGCTGGGACCATGCCCCTGCACCGTGGCCAAAGGGGCAGAAGGAAAGCGGGGCTTTCTTGGGCCTTATTCTCCCTTCAATGCCCTCCCACATCTGGACCTTAGAGCTTGGTGACTGTCACCTCACAAAGTTCGCTCAAAGGGACCGTCAGCATTTCTTGCTCAGAAGCGCTGGCATCAGTTGGCAAGTGGGACTTCTCCCACCCTTCTGCTGCTTCTCCCTTTCCATCCGTGTCATCCAGGTTGAAGAGAAGTTTCAGCTTCTCCGGATGCACGGAATTGAGGACGATGACACCCAGCCCCAGCAGGAGGCACAGCAGCCCTGCAACACAACGTGGACACATTCATCACCAAGTGCCCCTAACTCTCTGCACAACCTTCCCCTGGTCCTAGCCTCATCCAAAGGAAGATCTAGGGATCCTCCTTGGGATCCTAGGATGGGGATTCTCCTTTGGATCCTAGGATGAGCCCTAGCCTCATCCAAACGAGGATCTGGGGTTGGGAAGCCAGTGGGCATGTGGCATCATAGCAGAGGTCAAGGGCTGTGGTTAGTTCCCTCCATCTGGTGCTTGCAAGGCCCCAAACAGACGCTGTGGCTAGTTTGGTTTCTGCAGTACAGGAAAGAAGTCAAAAAACTCCAGAAGAGGGCCAAGATGGTTAGGGCTGGAGTCTACTGTGTGTGGAGAGGAGCCAGAATTATTCAGCCTGGAAAAAAAAGAATTCAGTGGGATCTGATTGCTGTCTTCTGCTATTAGAAAAGAGTTGGTCTCTTTTGAAAAGTGCAGTGAAAAGGTGAAAAGCAACAGTGTAAGCTGTAATGCAGGAAATTTCAGTTTGATTTAAGGAAAAATATGATCTCCAAGGGTGGGACAGCCATGGGGAAGGTCCTGTAAAGTAGACTGAATTTCCAGCCAGTGGGGATGATCAGCAACCAACAAGACAAGGCCCTGAACAGAGTTTCCTCATGAGGAATATGGAAAAGACTTCAACACAATCAGTTCCTGAGATCACTTTTGGAGGGGAATAGGTGCTGTGGGACAGTGCAGCACTGCTACAGGAAAGGAGAAAAGCAGCCCTGTGTGCAAGCTGAGCACCCACCTGTAGTTAAAGTCAGCCAAAAGGATCCGCCATAAGCTGTTTTCAGGGAAGCTGGGCCAAACTGGATGGGACAATTCGGAGTGTTCCTCACAGTGAAGAGGAAGAACAATGAGAAGAGCATCAGGGCTGCAGTGAGCAGGAGCATGTAGCCACCATAGAGCAGAATGGGCATGGAGAAGAGCAAGGTGGCAAGGACCCATGTGCAAAAGGCCATCCTGAAAAGCAACACAAAACAAAAAATATCACAAGCCAATCTTTGAACAGCCTCTTATCAGTCCAGCCTGCTCTCCAATACTCCACATCCCGCATCCCAGAGGAAATCCCCATGGCAGTCCTAGCAGGGCACTGCCTCTTCAGCAGGATGGCTTGGGAGAGGACTTTGCATCGTAATACCCAAACAATACATCTCTATTTTTTTCCTTCAGGGTAGAGAACATAAATAATGACTCCAGGGCAGGCAACCAGGTCAGGCTAAGCCTTGTCAACCCTAGCTCTGTGAAAGAGCTGATCCTCATGACTTTGGCATGATCTTACTGGACAGAAAGTGAACCCCTCATGCACTCTCTGTTCTACTCTCCCCTTTCTTCTTCGGTACCCTCAGCAAGCAGAGAGCTCTCGCTCTGCCTTACCACAGTGTGAGGGATGCGTAGCGGCCAGAGATGCGATACGGGTTGTGCACACCACAGGGGCTTTGTGAGGTGAACTTCTCTGCCACGTAGAGGATGGGACTGGGCAGCCCCTTCTCCAGGCCTTCACTGTAGCTGCGGTCATAATCTGCATCGAAGCTCCAGGCAAAGTGCTCGTTGTAGTTGATGGTCTCGTTGACCTGATTCACTGGGTTTCCTGACAGAGGAGGAAGACTAATGTCTTGGACGCAGCTCTGAAATCTGTTGGTGACTTGGGGGACATTGCTGCCAAGCTTGTCCCATATCACCTCCTGTTGCAAAAGGCACTCACCCACGAACGTGATGTTCACCCCTGCCAGGCCAATGTGCAACCCAATGTCTGCATTCACCATAGCACGGCTGAAGGACTTGTAGGAGGTGTTTGCTGTCACCCAGCCATTCTCCCAGTCTCTGGTGAACTGTATCGCTGTGAAGACTGCAAGGGTTAGTTATGGTCTGGTGGCAAGACATTTAGTGACAATATATTCTGGAAGAACCTGCTGTGACTGTCACCATGGCTTGAATTTCAACTACCTCATCCCAAGGGCTAGATCTGAGTTGTGAGCCCTGAAGACCCCCGATGTATGGCAGAAACCACAGTTCTTGCATGTCTTTCCCCATCACTAACCATGAGCTGTATCCCAGAGAGAGAAACTGGAGCTCTTCCTCCCCAGGTCCAGCTCAGCCTCAGGTGCTAGAAACAACGAGGCTGGTGTGCAGATACTGGTCCTTTTCCAAACAACATTTTTGGGTCACCTGACAGAGAACAGGGGCTTTCCGTGAGTTCCCAGAGGTGATATTTGCATCTGACCAGCCTTTGTAGAGGAGATATTTGACAGTGTTTTTTGCACATACATTACCACCAAATGCCTGCACTTCCTACTGCTTGCTGACTATCCTGCTGGACCAGGTTCTGGGCAAAGAAAAGCGTTGGTCTTCTCTGCGAGCTAGTCCTGAGTGCTAGCTCAGCACTCAGCAGCTGTTCCTCCTCCCAGTTCCCTCCTCTCTCCTCTGCATCTTGGTTGTCCTTGTGCTTCCCCGTCTGTCTGCCAGCTGCTCAGGGACCCATGCATTGCCCCCCTGTACTCACTGAGGACCACAGCTCCAATGAAGAGACCTGTTATTCCACGCAGTAACCAGAAGAACCGCTGCAAGGATTCACCAGAGAGCAAGGAGTTAGAGCTTGGGACCAGCTACCCTCATTCCTTGACCCTTGCTCCTACAGGTTGCTGCATAGTACCAAGAGGAGGAGCAAGGAAGTTCAGGTCAGCAGCGCAATGTGTGACCTGCAGCCTAGTACTGCTAAGTTAATATATCAGCTTCAAAACAAATATAATACTTCATTATCACTCTTCACAAAAAGTGAGTTTCATCTCAGGCAAAACCTTCCAAAGGGATTTTGGATCCCAGTCAGATTTGCCGATGCAGAACTCAACCCCAAGCATTTAGAAATGCCAGCTTGTGATAAAATGGACCTGCCCTGCTCCTGAGTCACCCCAGAAGCTCTGTAAGCCAGTGAGTCCTCACGGCTTGGGAGTCCCGTGGGGCAACCGGGTGCGGGAGGGAGGCACAGAGGAAACAGAGGGATCTAGGCAGAGCAAAAGAGTCCAAAAACATAAAACATAAAACATAAAACATAAAACATAAAACATAAAACATAAAACATAAAACATAAAACATAAAACATAAAACATAAAACATAAAA